GGTCTGGGGTGCTCGTGCCTTTGTCCGCGATACCACCGCGGACAAGCTCTCCGCCCGCGCCGTTCCCTGTGCCTTTCTTGGTTTCCCCCCTGACGCGCCTGGTTGGCAGTTCTACGAGCCCTCCTCGCGCCGTGTTTTTTCGTCTCAGGACGTTACCTTTGACGAGTCCGTTCCCTTCTACCGTCTCTTTTTCTACCGTACCTCCCCTCGCACCCCCCCACCGCTCTTCCTCACTCCAGGTCCTCCGCAGGTAGACCCTCTTCTCGCGCCAGGTCCTGCCCCTTCAGGTGTTTCCCAGGTAGACCCTCCCGTGCCTGCGCCTGTTGAGGTCACTGGTGACTCTGGTCCTGCTGGAGGTAGTGCTGGTCCTGGAGGTACGGAGCCTAGGGGTGCGCGGCTTGGGGGTGCTGAGCTTGGGAGTGCGGAGCCTGAGGGTGCCGAGCTTGGGAGTGCTGAGCCTGGGGGTGCGGAGCGTGAGTGTGAGGTGCCTGGGGGTGCTGAGCCTGGGGGTGCTGAGCCTGGGGGTGCGGAGCGTGAGTGTGAGGTGCCTGGGGGTGCTGAGCCTGGGGGTGTGGAGTCTGCGGGCCCAGCGCCTGCCTGTACTGAGTCTGCGTGTCAGGAGCCTGGAGGTCCTCTGCTTGGGGGGACTGCGTCTGACGGTGCCGAGCCTGTGTCTGTGGAGCCTGGGAGTTCTGGGTCTGGAGTTGAGCGGCCTGAGGGTGGGGCTGGGACGCGGTCCCCTTGGAGTGCCCGCCTTCGTCCGCGTGTCCCCCTCACCTCGCAGCAGCTGCACGACTGGTACGGTCGCCGTCAGAGTCGAGCTCCTGGAGCACGGGGCACTACTTCTGGGGGTGTTGGAGATGAGGCCGCTGGTCCTGGAGGTGCTCGTACTGGGGGTACTGGAGCTGCTGGGACTGGAGGCACGGAGCGTGAGGGTGCTGCGGCTGGAGATTCTGGGTCTGGGGGTGCTACTGCTGGAGCTACGGAGCCTAGAGACCCTGGGACTGGAGGTGCCGGTTCTGGGGGTGCTGCGGCTGGTGACGCTGAGCCTAGAGGAGCTGCTGCTGGAGGTGCTGGAGCTGCTGGAGGTCCTGGAGCGACGGGGGACGCTGGAGCCGCTGGCGCCTGTGGCTCGGCGCAGCCGAGACTGTTCTTCGCTCCGCCGTCTCCGTCGACTCAGCTACCGCCTGACTCTGCGCTTCGCCAGGTTCTTAGCCTACCGTCTTCTACTGGTCTTCCGGTACAGCCTGGCTCACCACTGCCTGCTCCTTCTCCTTACTCTGAGCAGCCCGGTGGTCCTGCTGAGCGTCGTGAGCCTGCGTCGCGTCCTGTCTCGCCTGTTCGTCCTGGTCGTCGTGTTTCTCGTCCGCGTCAGCCGGCAGTCACCGGCGCCCGCCTAGTAGTGCGTCGTCCTTCCTCGTCTCTGCAGTCTGTTCCTCTGCCGTCTCCCCCAGCGTCCTCTCTGCCTGACGTTCCGGACCCTGAGTCTGACCGGTTTCGTGCTGAGCACCCTACTGTCACGCGTCTGTTAGCTACTGTTGTCACTGACCCGTCTTTTGAGTCTACTGCTGCGTCTGCCTTGGTCGCTGAGCTTGTTGACTTTGCTGCTGCCTGTCGTCTAGACTACGCTGCCAGTCTTGTTACTGAGTCTGGGTCTGTCTGTCCTCCGTCCGTCGGGGGTGAGTGTGCTCTTAGCACGGACGTCCTTGAGGACAGGCAGGAGGACCTTGACTGTCTTGCGGCTGCTGTACCTCATCTCACGGCCTGGCTGCTTGCCCCTGAGGGAGACCCGGATGCACTAGACATCCCTACCCCCCGCTCTTACACAGAGGCGGTCTCGGGTCCCTACTCCTCTCAGTGGCAGACAGCCATGGACGCAGAGATGGCATCCTGGAAGTCCACAGGCACCTACGTCGACGAGGTTCCCCCTCCTGGGGCGAACATCGTCGATGGCATGCGGATTTTCAGGGTGAAGCGGCCGCCGGGTTCTCCGCCTGTCTTCAAGGCTCGTTACGTTGCACGAGGCTTCAGTCAGCGACAGGGAGTTGACTTCTTCCAGACCTTCTCCTCTACCCCGAAGATGACCACTCTTCGAGTACTGCTGCACGTTGCCGCCCAGCGTGACTACGAGCTTCACTCTCTTGACTTCAGTACGGCTTTCTTGCAGGGCAGCCTGCACGAGGAGATCTGGCTGCGCCGTCCTCCTGGCTTCACTGGGTCGTTCCCTCCTGGTACCCAGTGGAGCCTCCGACGGCCAGTTTACGGTCTCCGCCAGGCGCCACGTGAGTGGCACGACACACTGAGGACGACACTAGCGGCTCTTGGGTTTGCTCCCTCCACTGCAGACCCTTCACTGTTCCTGCGCACAGACACGTCGCTGCCGCCGTTCTACATCCTCGTGTACGTCGACGACTTGGTCTTTGCTACTGCTGACACAGAGGCACTCGCTCTTGTGAAGTCGGAGCTGCAGAAGAGACACACTTGCACAGACCTGGGTGAGCTGCACAGTTACCTTGGCTTGCAGATCACCCGGGACAGAGCACGCCGCACCATCACCCTGACTCAGTCACACATGGTGCAGCAGGTCCTTCAGCGCTTCGGCTTCCAGTTCTCCTCACCTCAGTCCACTCCTCTGTCTACCAGCCACTCGCTCTCAGCTCCACCTTCGGACGAGTCCGTAGAGCCAAGTGGTCCTTACCCAGAGCTTGTAGGCTGCCTCATGTACCTGATGACCTGCACTCGACCAGACCTTGCGTACCCTCTTAGCATCCTAGCTCGCTTCGTCGCACCTGGGAGACACAGGCGAGAGCACTGGGAGGCTTCTATGAGGGTGCTACGCTACTTGTGCAGTACATCAGGCATGGGGTTGGTGCTTGGAGGACAGGGCTCGGTTGTCCTCACTGGACACTCAGACGCCTCTTGGGTTAACGAGCTGGCTACGCAGCGGTCGTCATAGGGTTACACTTTCAGCCTTGGCTCTGGTTCTGTCTCTTGGCGTTCCACTCGCTCTTCTTCGGTTCTCAGCTCCAGTTGTGAGGCCGAGATCTACGCCACAGCCATGGCTGCACAGGAGCTTCGCTGGCTCACCTACCTGCTGACTGACCTGGGTGAGCGGCCTCGTTCTCCTCCAGTTCTGTACGGCGACAACAAGGCAGCTCTTGCCTTGTGTCAGGAGCACAGACTGGAGCACAGAACGAAGCACATTGCTCTCCGTTACTTTCTGGCTCGAGAGCTGCAGCAGCGTGGTCAGCTTCGCCTTGCGTACGTGGACTCGAAGGCCAACACTGCTGATATATTCACCAAGGCGCTTTCGTCTGGTGATCATCAGCGGCACTGCACTGCGTTAGGCCTTGTGTCCACGTTCTCTCACTTGCTTACTTCTTGACTTTGCTTGTACTGTGATCTATATATATTTATCCTTGCATGCTTGCACTTGCTAGGCTTTGATCACTGTACTACTTGTGTTCTTCTATATAAATCTGCATGTGAACTGGCCTTGTGGCCTCTGCTTGTGCTCAGAGAGTGTGGTGACATTGTGATCCACCCTGAGCTTGTTCTTTGCTTTGCTTGACTGGTCTTATGACCCCTTGCTCTCCCCCACTTTGCCTATGGGGGTGTGTCAAAGTATAACTCTGTTATATGTTTGTAGGCTATAGTGGGGTAGCCAATATGGGGTACCACCCCAACTAGGGTTTCATATTTATACTCTTGCTTCTTTCAATCCCATTCATTCTTGTCTCTAGTCTTCAACAGTCAGAAGTTCAACCATGGATTCGGTCCTGCTTCAGACATGACATTGTCCTTGGACACACGATGCCCATGCGAAGCGTCTAACGAAATTTGCGAAATAGGTTACCATTAAAAGTTCAACTGAATTTCCGAACGTCTACACCAAAAGACACGCGCCCTTACAAAGTTTCTAATTATAGCTGTTAGTGAGTACTGCAGAACATCGCGAAAATCACTTCCTCGATGAAACTACATGGAGGGGGATGGGAGGGACTAGGAGGAGCTGTTAGGGGATTGTAGGGGATTGAAAGGGGATGGGAGGGACTGGAAGAGAATGGGAGGGGCTGGAAGGGGATGGAATGGAAAAGCTGGTAAGGGAGACTGGGGAAAAGGGAAGCAGGGCAGAAAAAAGGAGAAAAAGGGCAAAAAGAAAAGGGAAAAAGGGAAAAAGGGGAAAAAGGGTGTAAGGCAGAGAGGGGAAAGCGGGAAGAAGGGCGAAAGGCAGTGAACGCATGGTGGGAGAAGAAGGGTGTAGGGAAGAGAGGGGAAAGGGAGAAGCAGGGTGAATGCCAGAGAGGGAAAGGGAGATAAAAATTGTAAGGCAGAGTGGGTAGAAAGGGGGAAGAAGGGTGTAGGGAAGACAGGGGAAAGGGGGAAGCAGGGCGTAAGGCAGAGAGGGATAGGGGGAAGCAGGGTGTAGGGAAGAGAGGGAAAAGGGGTTTAGCAGGACGTAAGTGAGGGAACGCAAGGTGGGGGAAGAAGGGTGTATGGAAGAGAGGGGAAAGGGGTAAGAAGAGTGTAAGGCAGAGAGGGGAGAGGGGGAAGAAGGAAGGTGAGGCAGAGAGGAAAAAGGGGGAAGAAGGGCATAAGGCGGAAAGGGGGTAGGGGGAAGAAGGGCGTAGGGAAGAGAGGGGATACAAGGAAGATAGGTGTAGGCAGCTCGGGGAAAGGGAGAAGAAGGGTGTAATGCAGAGAGGGGAAAGGGGGAAGTAAGAAAGTGTACGGCAGAGAGGATTAAGGGTGAAGAAGAGAGTAAGACAGATAGGTGAAAGGTGGAAAAGGGGTGTAATGCCGAAAACTAGGGGAAATGGGGACGAATTAGTGGGGCAAGGAGTGGAGTAGCTGCAAGGTGTGGATGCGGTGGATGCGAAAAAGAAGAAGCAGGCCTCCGACACAGCATAGATGCATACCAAACCAGCATTTGTCGTCGTTCCTCGCTCGCACTTCGCACATAAGCGTCCTCGCCGCTGAAATTCCGTCTTCGCCGCCGCTCAGTGTCGCTGCACGTCCGCCGGTCGCCGAAACTGAGCAGGTGAATGGGGGGGACTCGAGAGGGGGAACGGGGGATAAACGAGAGGGGGAAGGGGGGGAAATGAGAGGGAGCAGGGGGGGGAATGAGAGGGAGAAGGGGGGGGAATGAGAGGGAGCAGGGGGGGGAATGAGAGGGAGCAGGGGGGGGAATGAGAGGGAGCAGGGGGGAAAGAGCGAGAGAAAGGTAGGGGAAACGAGGAGGCTGGAACGGGAATTGAGAAGGCGAGAAGGCGAGAAGGGGAAACGGGGAAGCGGGGAGGGGTAATGGGGAGCGGGAAGGCGGAACGGGAAGATGGGAAGGGGAAATGGGGAGCGGGAAGGCGGAAAGGGAAGATGGGAAGGGGAAATGGGGAGCGGGAAGGTGGAACGGGAAGATGGGAAGGGGAAATGGGGAGCGGGAAGGCGGAACGGGAAGATGGGAAGGGGAAATGGGGAGCGGGAAGGCGGAACGGGAAGATGGGAAGGGGAAATGGGGAGTGGGAAGGCGGAACGGGAAGATGGGAAGGGGAAATGAGGAGCGGGAAGGCGGAACGGGAAGATGGGAAGGGGTAATGGGGAGCGGGAAGGAAAACCGGGGAGGCGGGAAGGGGAAACGAGGAGCGGGAAAGGGAAAACAGGGAGGGGGAAGGGGTCACGTGGAGGCGGGAAGGGGAAACGGGGAGGCGGGAAGGGGAAACGGGGTGGTGAGAAGAGGAAACGGGGAACGGGAAGGGGAAACGGGGAGCGGGAAGAGAAAACGGGGAGGCGGGAACGGGAAACGGGGAGGCGGGTACGGGATCCGGGGAGGCGGGAAAGGGAACCGGGGAGGCGGGAAAGGGAAACGGGGAGGCGGGAAGGGGAAACGGGGAGCGGGAAGGGGTGATGGGAAGCAGTCGTTTCTGCAGTCATTTTGCAGCCTTATGTGCGGCTATCGCGGCTAGTGCAGAAACGTGATTGCGAGGCTGTGCGATCGGGTGGCGACTGTGATCGTGCGAGTTCGGCATTTTGAGACGCGTCGAGCGCGTTCACGGTGGCGTGAGGAGGCAGCATGGTGAGGCGACGCGACGGATGACGAGGCGAGGCTGTGAGAGGGCGGAGCTAACGTTGGTTCGGACGCGTAATTACAATAAACTGCCCCTTGCGCCAAGCTTTGTGTCGGAAAGGGGTGATTTGCGCTGTCTGTTGAGGCACGATGTGCTTAGCTACGATTTGTGCTGCCTGTCGTGCGTAGTGGCGTAGATTTCACAAGGGCTCGATTTTGTATACTTTTGTTGATCCAAAACTTTTGAATTGCCAGTGAATGCGGGGTGTGAGGGGGATCACCTCCCTTGTGGAGCGAGGGAACTAGCTATAATGGGGTTACCAAACTTTCAAATTTCTAAACTTTTGAACCTCCCCTTTTCAAATGTATACAAAAGCTTTAAGAAACTGCCGAAATCACCCCCCTCCCTCTTTTACGGTGCTGCACCTCTGGTAGATAGTTCGCTAACAAGTGGCCAAAAAGGTACCACCTAGCAATTTTAAGGGGGGTGAAAAGGTTCTCGCAAAAACCCACATTCTCGCTTCTAGCTGTGATGTTAAACCAATTCTGAAAACACCCAAGTTGTCTTTGCATCAAAATCCTTACACTAAAAAATACCGTATAAAAAGACCCGGGTGTTACGTATGTAGCTTTTTCCCATGACAAACCCCCCCCCCCCCCCCCCCCCCCCCCCCTTATTTTGCTGTAGTTATCATAGCACCCTAGGGTGGTATGTCCGGGTGATTACAGAATGAGACGCCCTCTTTAAGATGCGCAGTTGAAAATGCCCATGTCATACCGTAGTCACTTCACTCTGAGCTACAATTGTCAATAACGCTGAGCCTACAGCTCAATGATGTGTTTGCATTTCAGCAGAAACATCCATATTTACCATGATACCTTAATCCCTCCCTCGCCACCCGCACCACGACCCGGTTCACCCTCACCACCAGCCGAACCCTCTCCAACCACTTCCAACTCCTCCTTTTGCCCAAACAACTTCTCATAGGCAGTCTCTTGGGGAATACCCTCGCCTTCATCCTCAACCGCCCGCTTCTCCAGCCCTTCGAGAAACTCCATAGTGAGTACGTCCGGCCAAGGGGCTCCAAATGGAGCCTCGGGACCCGCCACCCAGCCCAGATGGCCGCCATGGGATGTCCCGACAAGCATTGTGAGGGGGTTGTTCTGCAAGACGAAAGACGGGACAGGAGACAGGAAAGAAATTACAGAAAAGCTTGATACATCTCTTGGGGAATATCCCCGCTTTCGTCCTCCAGCCCATCCGGCCAAGGCGCACCGAAAGGAGCGTCGGGGGACCCGCCACCCAGCCCAGATGGCCGCCATGGGATGTCCCGACAAGCATCGTGAGGGGGCTTTGGTGGAAGACGAGAGGGGGGAGGTAGGAAGGGGGTAGATGTGCAATTGCAGTACAAACAGATGTGTGACACGTCACAGCTAAAACCAGATGGCCCCTGTGAAGCTTGAAACGTCCGAACCACGGGGGCCATTTGGCTCAACAAAAAATGCGCCTCATGGAATTGACATTGGGGAAAATGGGAGTCTGAAACAGCAAATGTCAGCATATCAGTAGCACCAATGGCGGGCAGACAGGTGTCAATACAGCCATCCTCCTCGTCCTAGTGCCGCTCACGCACCCATGGATGCCCAGTCAGCACAAGCTGAAAACCCAAGGCAAGCGACATGCCTCGTACTGTTACATGTGTTGCATGTGTTGCATGTGTTACATGCGTTACATTACCACAGAGGAGTGTTACCATCCACGGGAGCCTCACCTCACCTCACTGCCACTGAACTTCATTGCTTGCACAAGGTGCACACCCAAGGCTCTTACACAGAGAGCTTTTACGTCACTTTCCCACTGTATAAAGCGACATGCCTTGATAGCATCCCACGGAATGCCTTCTGCTGGTGCGATTGGATCATCCAGAGCTTCACAGAGATGATTTTTGAGTTGACTCAACGACACCTCGCTCCTCACATAAACAGCACTGTGACCGTACCTCAATAGCGTCATACGGAATGCCTTGTGCTGGTGCGATTGGATCGTCCAAAGCCTGATTGGGGAGAGAAGGCACGGAAGGAACCGTGGGGCGTAGGCAGGGCAGCAAAGGTGAAAGAAATTTGACACACAAGAGACTGAGCAATCCAAGTCTCACATCAACTTTTGAGGCGTCTCAAAAACACAAGAGACTGAGCAATCCAAGTCTCACATCAACTTTTGAGGCGCCTCAAAAACACAAGAGACTGAGCAATCCAAGTCTCACATCAACTGGCCAAGTTTCAGCGTTCACAAGTCTGAGAATTTTGACACACAAGATTGGGTGCGAGGGTTGAACAAGAGGGAAGGAAGAGGGAAACAAGAATACAAGAAGCCAGAGGTGGTCTGGTCTCTGGATGCGAGGAGCTAGCATTGACATGAGTGTTGTGAAGGATTACCAAGAATGAATGGCGTGCTTCAAGCTGTGTTTTTACAGATTGAGATGTCCCTTAAGTTGACAAGAATAGGAAGGATTACGAGGAATGGATGACAGAATGGCGTGCTTCAGGCAAATGAATCTGATGGAATAGAGTAATGCCTTTTCTGATGGTTAGAAAAGAGACATTGAGAACCGTGCTTTCTGCTCTTGTTCATTTTGGAAGCGGAGAGAAATGATTGCTCGCAGGGAGAAATGATTGCTCGCAGGGAGGTCTACTGCATGTGAGGAAGAAGAGCACAGCGGAACAGCAACCCACCTGAACGCAGAGAGCAGAGGCAACCGCACGTCACGGTTGAAATTCTCAAAAACAATTCTCAGTTGAAATTCTAAAAAACAATTCTCAGTTGAAATTCTCAAAAACAATTCTCAGTTGAAATTCTCAATTCTCAAAAACACCCACCTGAACGCAGAGCAGAGGCAAGCGCACGTCCTTGATGCTTCGACAGCTGCTGGCGTCACGGTAATAAGCATCAACCGAGGGATAGCCGAATGACACTGAGGGGGAGCGACGGGATGGGAGAGACAGGAAGGGAATTGAGAAGCGTCGAGGGAAAAAAAGCTTCCAATCCGAGGGGCAGTCAAAAGAGACTGAGGAGGAACAACCCGTGAGCCACATACCTGTAATCCCCACTGCTGCATACAGTAATCCAATAGCCCGCCTCTCCCCACCCACCTTGTGTGAGCCCCACGCCTAAGTCTCTCTTATAACCCTGCCACTGCACTCCAACCACACGCCCCTGCTGCCCTTGCTGCCCCTGCTGCCCCTGCTGCTCCCTCATACACACCTCGTGTGAGTCCCACGTCAAAGTCGCGCACCGTCTTGGCCCGTGCAACGAGGCCTATGTCATACTCGCCGCCCAGCCCCTCAAACAGAGGCGCGTGGCTGGTGGGGGGAGAGGTGGAGGGAGGGTTGGGGGAAGAGAGAGGGATTTCGAGTCGTCCCTTAGGTCTTGGCCCGTGCAACGAGGCCTATGTCGTACTCCCCTCCTAGCTCCTCAAACAGAGGCGCGTGGCTGGGGGGAGCAGGGGGGGAAGGGGGGAGAGAGGGAGTGGATGGGCGAGAAAAAGAAAGAAAGGTACCACGTTGTTGCCTCGTAGGTCTTGGCCCGTGCAACGAGGCGAATGTTGTACTCTCCTCCCAGCCCCTCAAACAGAGGCGCGTGGCTGGTGAGAGAGAGGGGGGTAAGGGGGGGTAGAGAGAGAAAAAGGAGAGGAAAGAGGGAATGGTGGGAAGGGGGGAGAGAGAAAAAAGAGCGGAGAGAGGGAATGGTGGGAAGGGGGGAGAAAAGAGGGGGAGAGTATACAACAACACGGGTGTACAATAAGACGGGTGTACAACAAGACGGGTGTACAATAAGACGGGTGTACAACAAGACGGGTGTACAATAAGACGGGTGTACAACAAGACGGGTGTACAACAAAACAGGTGTACAACACGTACTTGGCGTAAATACCCCTGAGCGTCGATCCCAGCCGTTGATCATAGAAGTTGTTGAACCCGATGTGGAAGTTCCTATCAGCCAGTACGAGATCAAAGGGGTTGCACAGCGACACGGCTCCTGACAGAGGCACCTCCTCCCCCTCCTGTGATGGTCAGTGACGAGAGCATGAGGGGCAGATGGGGCAGGGCCGGATGGCAGTGGGTGGGGGCGGGCAGGAGAGAAAATGAGTGGAAGGCAAGGGAGGATTGATGGTTCATGTGAGGAGGGTGGATGGTGCGAGAGGTCTCAAAAAGAATTCTCAGAGGAGAAAGTTGGCCTCAAGGGACCGACCGACCAACCAACAGCACAGATGTGGGAGAGGGGCGTGAGGAGAGGAGGGAGAGGTGGTGGAGTATTATAAGATACATGTGATGTGATGTGATGTGATGTGATGTGATGTGATGATGTGATGTGATGTGAAGTGATGTGATGTGATGTGATGTGATGTGATGTGATGTGATGTGATGTGATGTGATGTGATGTGATGTGATGTGATGTGATGATCACATGGCCTGAAAGACAGAAAAGGAAACGCCTGGGCAAACAAGCAATCATGTGAGCCAGGTATTGCACAAGGATGTTGGGCCCTGTTGGGAGCATAGAGGTGCGAGAGGTGGCGGCATAGAGGCAGGCGGCATAGAGGCAGGCGGCATAGAGGCAGGCGGCATAGAGGCAGGCGGCATAGAGGTAGCGCCTTGAGTGATACAATCGGGTGCAGGCTAGGCAGTTACGACATAACCTGGGTGAGGCGCACACACTGAGCCATGTACACACCTGAGCAATGTATCGCACGAGGATGTTGGCCCCTAGGGACCAGCCGGCCAGAGAGAGGTGTGCGGCAGAGAGGAAGTGCGAGGGGTGATAGAATGGGGTGCAAGGCAGGTAGGAATCAGGTGAGCGAGGTGCACACCTGAGCAATGTAGCGCACGAGGATGTTGGCCCCTAGGGACCAACCGGCGGCATAGAGGCGCGAGAGCGGCTGTAGCGCTGCCACGTGGCGCACCACCTGCCGTAGATCCTCGGTGAACGATGCTGAGTAGAACTGGGGAGGAGGGGGAGGTGGTAGGGGGGCGAAAGAGGAGGGGGGGAAAGGGGGGTGCGATGAGGGGTGTTGGGTGGACTGGTGATTCACTCCACACCACCTGCCGTAGATCCTGAATGATGCTGAGTAGAACTGGGGAGGAGGGGCATGGGGCATGTGGCATGTGGCATGGGGCATGGGGCATGTAGCATGGGGCATGGGGCATGTAGCATGGGGCATGGGGCATGGGGCATGTAGCATGGGGCATGGGGAATGGGGCATGTGGCATGTGGCATGGGGCATGTAGCATGGGGCATGGGGCATGTAGCATGGGGCATGTGGCATGGGGCATGTGGCATGGGGCATGTGGCACGTGGCATGGGGCATGGGGCACGTGTCATGGGGCATGCAGGATGCTGGCATGAAATGAATCACCTGCGGGGACGTGACAGGGCTGTTAGCGCAGCCTCGCGAGTTGAAGACCACTGCGCCCCACCCTGCCAGCCTGGCTCGCACCAGCATGTGCCTCACGTATGTATCACCACTGCCGCCTGTCAGCCCAGGCTGTGATGGTTTAGGAGGAAGGGGGAGGATGGGATGAGAAGATATGTGCAATGCATGATGCGCTTCAAATATGGGACACCACTGCCGCCTGTCAGCCCGGGCTGAAAGGGTAGGGGAGGGGAGAGGGGTGAGATGCGATGAGAATCGTCATAAGCTACAGTACCCACAAACAATGGCAAACAACTCACCAGCAGGATCAACCACGGAGTGCAAGGTGGCACCTCGCCATTGGCCGACGTGCCTTCCAGCGCCTCGCCCCCGACGGGCCAGTCAAGAGCCACCGTGCCGCCGTCCGCCATTCTCAGGCACTCCCTTCTGAACCGCACGGCTGGCAGGGAACGCGCCACGGCTGCAAAGATGGTCTCCACGTGGCAGTTGGCCAGTGGTCCAAAGAAGGGCCTGTGCTGGAAAGTAGGAGAAGGGGTTAGAAGAGGCTACTGGTATCAGTTTCAGTTTATGCTATGCTACACTAAGGGTGCTAAGAAACGAGTAGTAAGAATCGAGTTCTTCTAGCTGCTATGCTATGCGTTGCTAAGGGTGTGTATCCAGGTTTTCGAAAGCCAGCAATGATTTCCGCTGACACTTCCTTTGCCATTGCACTGCAATCACCTGTAAGGTTCTTGTAACGAGGGAAGCTGCCACGTCAGCTCCTGATGCACCTCTCCGTTCCCCCCCACCAGTTTCAGCCCTTCCGGACTCCGCTTCGGCGTCCCAACTCCGCGATTTCCGCCGGATTTTCCGGCGCCGTTCCCGCTAGCAACAGCAGCACTGTCTCCCGCAGCGACACTCCTCGCAGCGACTCTTGAACCGCGAATACCGGCGGTGCTCCCGCTCGACGCGCTCCTCCTGCCGTCGATTAATCTCCTTCCATTCTTGATAGCAAGATACGCTATAAGCGCGCCGATTCCAACGGCTAGACCCACACCGCTGGTCAACGAAACACGACCAAGTGCAGCTAGGCTTGCCGCCGGGCGACACGTCAGATTCAGCGCACGTGCTGTTTCGCGGGGAACGCTACAGCGCGAATAGTGGGTGGCTCGCATCGCGTGTACGGACGCGAGGGAGGGGGGGCACGTGGAGCCTAGGAGACGGCTGATTGGCTGAGATCGGCGGGAAGGATTTGTCGCGAGAATGTAACGAGCTGTGACTGATCGTATCACCATTGGCCGCCCGCTTGTTTGACGGTTGCAAGGCTCGGCAACGGTTCCCCTACCGCCGCCGCGATCCACGGCTTGAATTGCGCGGGACGTCGAGAAGCTAGAGCATGACCATGTATGGCGAGGGCACAAGGATGACGTCATTTCCGTCGAAGACAACCAATGTGATCGCTATTCAATCTTTATACAACGAAGATGATTGGCAAATCCAGTCCGCCGCTACCGGTGCCAGCGGCGACGCTTGATTTGATCACAGGTGAATCTGTCTCGACCGTGCTGCGTGTGTGGCAGTCGTCAGTCCTGGGTTGCTCGCCAGAAGGTAGTTGGGGGTTGGGAATTCCAACATAGTTGGTGGTCGGTCGGGCCATAATAATCCCGCTATTGAGAGATCCGGAAAGTAGAACTATCTGGATGTTTTAAGTGACGCATTTTGTGATTTGAATTTCAAGACAGGATATTGCACATGGCTTTTCTGCTCCAACCTCACAGATCACGTGTAAGAAAAATGTACTGTATAAGCATTCCTGAAGATATTTAACTGTACCAGTACCGCATTAGCTCATATAGAGCACGCGGAAGGTCGAGGGTCACCCGAAGGTCAACCGTCGAGAGAAGTCAACGGGACGTGACCCTTGACCACCCAGTAACCGTGTGTCAGTTGTTCGCTGCAACATTGTAACTGTCAAGAATAGCAATAGTCGTGGTTACTGTAGCTATGCAATACAGTTAATAAGGGAATGTACCCCTCAGAGTACATGGCTAGCTAGTTTGCTATTTAATCTCTTGTACTCTTATCTCTTAATCCTCGTGTTCTCCTTCAAATATTACTCAACAAGGTCACTACAGAGACTTTATTGTCTCCTCTCAGACTTAACAGATTTCATCTTATCTACTTGATTCTTGGTTATATCAGCATGGTATGAGAGCTAGAGTGGATTATAAGATCTGCCAACTCATCGTTCTTCTCAGAACAATCTCGTTATAAAATTACTCAATACATTTCAAGGTCTGCAATACTATGGCTCCTGAAGGAAAAGCCACTGCAGACTCACCGGGCCCACCACCAGCAACTACTAACGCGCCAACAACGGTGACCTCCGTCAGCGCCGCTGTCGTTGAGCAGCTAGTCGCACGCATCAACGCCCTTGAAAGCCATCAAGCAATGAGCGTTGATGGCTCAAGCTATGCACGTGGAGTTGCTGGACTTCCTCTCCCTGGAGAAGACCGCCGCGTCAACTCCGAGAGATCTTTCACCTTTGACAATCGTCAAGGTTCAGCTCCTGCACAAGACAACCCACAACGAGCACAGTCAGAAGCAATCGCTTCTATGCAAACTAAGTTTGTATTGACTTCAAAATTGAAGACCTCAATTCCTTTTGACGGCAAGGATTTCTACACGTGGAGCTTCGAATTTGAACTTCTCGCGACAACCACTCAAATCTGGATGTACTACGACGGAAGCTTACCTTTCCCTTCGGAAGGCACCATCCAGGAGAAGCATCAATACTACCACGTGTCAGAATGTTGTATTTGTCTAGCCTGCAGTGGGGTACTCTATAGCGAGTACAGCCCAATCTAGGGTTTCCTATATGTACTCAACTGCTTGCTAGTGCAACCCCTCTTTGCCTAAACTTTCCCTTGCCTAGCTAGGGTTCTCCTAGCTATGGCGCCTTATTCTATCGCCTATCTTCACACCACGAATCCCTCCTCGCGTATACCGCTCTCCTTCGAAATCTCTCTCCCGAAGAACAGCTCGGCATTCGTCCCTACAAGACGGAGTGGGCTCCTGCGCACGCGTCCTGGGAACACCTGCGCAACTCATACATGGCAACAGATCCAGTCACAATGAGGCGCCTACTCAGCCAGCTAACTTCGGTTAAAATGAAGCAAGGGGAGAAAGCGGGACCGTATGTTAACCGGTGCCGCAATCTGCGCGATCACGTCAAAAAGTGCGGTGGGACCGTTCCCGAGGACATGTTCATCGCAATGGTCATCTCTGGTCTCGGCCCCGACTGGCGACAATGTCAGTCACTTCTTCGCGCCCGAGCAACGATTTCGGAGTCGGCTCTGTGCGCCACACTTCTTTCCGAGCAAAAGGAAATTGAACTGTACAATGAGAAGAATGTCAAACGGGAGAAGTTAGTATTTTACACAGGAGCACCACAAGGGGAGCAGCGCGGAAAGAAAGGAGCTTTCTGCAAATACTGCAAGAAGTCTGGCCACACTATCGACCAGTGCTACAAGCGTCAGGCTGCTGACGAAAGACGCAACGTCTCCAATCAGCAGCCCTCAGCACAAAAAAAGCCTCCTGCCGCGACCTCCACCATGTCGCCTCCCTCCGTTGCCAGCACTTCTCAATCTCCTACACTCATCACGGTGAAGGACAAAGGAAAAGGGACAATCATGAACTGCATGGCTCGCCGCAGCAGAGGGTTCCGCTACTACAATCGAGTAACATTCGGATTTCACGATCCCATCAACCCTGTTGCGCCCATCCCAGACAACGACCCCACAGTCCATACCTAGATCGATCGTCCCTCAGACATTCCACCCGACTTCGAGCTCTCTCCGCCAACTCCGGAATCACCGCCAAGCATCTCTGCAAACAGATACTTCGCCCTCTCACCGTACACCGGCGACTTTGATCGCATCGTCACGCCCAAGATCGCCAACATCGCACGCCAACGCCATGAGGACTCCAACACCTAGTACCTCGACAGTTGCTGCGGGCAGCACATGGTGGGATCTGCAGCGTTCATTAGTAACTCACGGCGCATGCGACGACCCTGCGAAATCACCGCCGCCAACAACGGCAAGATGAAAGCTCATGACATTGGCGAAATCTACCTCGAAGCCAATGACACAAAGTTTACGATTCATATCGGAGACGTCCTCGTCGCCCCAGAGGTGCAATACAATCTACTCTCCTCGACTCAACTCATGTGGTGCGAAGTCGATATTCACAGCAATCGTAAAGAGAAAACCTTCGAGCTATTCTACAACGAGACTTACATCGGCAAGGCGATAGACGACGACGGTGTTTTTCTGCTGCAATTCTCGACTCAAGGAACCACCGGCGACTCCGACCGCACGTTGCTACTAAAGACGACCCCCACAAAGGCAGCGACATGGTCCCATCCGGCGGAAATGGACCTCGAGCGGCCCGCCTCCGACGGCCTCCTGCGCCTGCGCACCGTTCCAGTTGCATCGACCTCCACTCCTGCAGAAGCCGAACCTGCCACAATGGAAGAAGACAGTGGAACGTCTGCATCTGCGGCACCAACCACCGGAGAAAGCGGAACAACCAGATGGGGTTGGGGCACTTCACAGCCAGCACTTGGTCCCTGGGGAGAAATACTAACTCCAGAAGAAGCGACCACAAGTGGCTCGGGCGCCCTTTCAACGGAAGAAGTCGGAGCGACCGGTTGGGGAACTCTGCCCCCACCAACAGGGGAAGCAGGGACGGCTGACTGGGGGACCACCACGGCACCAGCAACAGGAGAGACCGCTGGCAGAGGATGGGGAACCTCAGCTGAAGCCGAACGAGAGCCGCAAACCCATGCCGAAGCAGCTGGACTCCCTCCTGCGGATGTCGCCGCCATCGACCCTTACTGGGCAACTCGCGACACTAGCTGGGGAGGTCCTCCCCTTCCGAATCAATACGCCCCTGCCACACCCGAACCAATGGCAAAGGAGTCAGAAGAAGAAGCGACTTACGAATTCATGGGAGAAGCAGCGGAATTGCCTGAACCTAACCAGGAGCCGAAGCCGCCAGAACAAGGACCACAAGAAATTGAGGTCATCGGTGCCGAATACAATTACTTCAGAATACCCATGAAGTGACTCCCAGTTCGCAACTGGCCCAACCAGTACCTGCTTGTTACCGGAGACCAAGCCGAAGTCGGCGACACCGACGACATCATCGGTATTCCTCACGCGCTTCTGGAGCGAAAGTCAATTCACGCGCTCGCCGCCGACACCGACGACGCCGCCGATGTAGGACCTGAAGAGGAGGCAACCGACGAAGCAGCGCGACACAAATATTATCAGAAAACAGTCGGCTACCGTGCGGAACCAGAAACATGGCATCAACGGCTCGGACACCCTTCTCACGCCACGCTAAAAAATTCACTCAAGGCTGGAATCTTCGACGACGACGCACTACTCCTACCCCGAAACGGCTCTCTCACCGCGGACTCAGCTGATCCACCTTGCACCGTCTGCCCAACAGCATCGCTCACCCACAAGCCTTTTCCCGACTTACCTCCGGGCTACGAACGCTACAAGCCGCTGGATAAAGTTTACAGCGACTTTATGGTTCTCAGTCAGGAAGGTCTCGACGGCGAACATTATACGCTCACCTTCATCGACGCCTCCACTCGCTACGTCTGGGCTGTCAACACGTACTGCAGGTCGCTCGCCTTCGAGTGCTTCGTTGCGTGGATGAAGCGGGCTGAACGACAATCAGGATTAAAACTCAAGGCCTGGCAGACGGACGGAGCCCTGGAGTTCTTCTCAGACGAGTTCAAGGAACTCTTCAAGCAGAAGGGGATTGAGCACCTGGTGTCCCTGCCCTACGCTCACCAACAGCAAGGTGTAGCAGAACGGACAAACAGGAGCCTCGCCACGCGGATGAGGGCCCCGATGAAACAGTCGGCCATCCCAACCAAATACTGGCCGTTTGCGATGAACCACGCTGTTCGGCTGCACAACTTGTTGTCCTCGCGAAGCCTCGAGAACAACAACTCTCCCTACCGGGCATGGACAGGCATAAAAGCAGACACGCGTGTGCTTCGGGTGTTCGGTTGCATGGTACAGTACAGACCCCACACTGCAAGGACCGGAAAATTTGCTGACCGGGCACGATGGGGCATCCACCTCGGAATCGAAAAGGAATTCAAGGCGTGGATCGTGCTGGACTACGCGACACACGAGGTGACGAAATCACGTGACTGCATCTTCTACGAGAAGCCGAATCTGCCCCTTTTCAAGGAACACCAAGAAGCGGACAAGCTACCAGATAGGCTGTTCGAGGGCCATCGCAGCTTCGCCACATCACACGACGAAGCTGACCTGGCGGAAGATGCAGACGCAGCTGATGTCACCCAAATGGACTCTGCCCCGAGCATCCCCCTTACAAGCCC